ATCCCTATATAAAACCAATATCAATGATCAATATCATTATTATATACCTAACCTGTATCACTCAATTTTACTGTAGAATTAACGCAGTCACGTGACGTGGTGATCCGACTTTCCCGATCACCACACTGTGGTTTTCTGAATCCATATCACCACTCTCTGAAACTGATGACGTAGTACGCAAAAACATGACGTTATTTTTCTTGCGCGTTAAAAAGTCCACTGTTATTATGCTTTGTTTTATGGATAAGTATTATACAATTGATCTCTGAAGTTTTATTTTGCTATAGTTAGCTAGTTCTAAGGGGGTATATAATAGATTTATCATTATAACAGTAACTTGATCCGAAGGGTCGTGTCACGTCTCGTTGACAGGCGCGGATCATCAGATCAAAAGAGACGCGAGGAAACTTGATCCGAAGGGTCGTATCACGTCTCATTGACAGGCGCGGATCATCAGATCTCGCGAAGCGTCGAGTTTGATCTGATGATCCGCGCCTGTCAACGAGACGTGATACGGCTCTTCGGATCAAGTTACTGTTATAATGATAAATTTATTATATACCCCCTTATATCTAGCAAAATATAGCAAAAGAAAACTTTGTAGATCAATTGTATAGCATTTATCCATAAAACAAAGCATAATAACAGTGGACTTTTTAACGCGCAAGAAAAATAACGTCATGTTTTTGCGTACTACGTCATCAGTTTCAGAGAGTGGTGAAATGGATTCAGAAAACCACAGTGTGGTGATCCGGAAAGTCGGATCACCACGTCACGTGATTGCGTTAATTCTACAGTAAAATTGAGTGATACACATTAGGTATATAATAATATATAAATATCATCTTCGCTATCCAAGGGTTTCTGATACGCTACTCTTCTTATGAAAAGAGTCGCGTATCAGAAACCCTTGGCTAGCGAAGATGTATCAATATCAGTTAAAAAAAATTAAGCAATATATCATTCAAAAATAAGAAAAGCACGTAATACATATTCTTAATGGTTTCAATTCCTCAAGACATTCCCAGGTATCCTTTACACATGTATTAAGCCTCTGTATCCATGAACAGAAAACCTCAGCAAAATCATTTTTAGGGATCCCCCAAAGCCACTAATGAATATTATTTCCCATGACAAATCTTACATTGTACAATCTTCCTTTGAGTTTTTTCATGTGTTTTGGGAATGAAAAGATCTCACAATGGTTGAGAGCCAGTTAATATGGGTGATGGAAAAGTTCTGTATATTTTCTTTTCTTCAAAATCTTATTTATTTCTCTAAGCTTATATGCAGCTGCGTTGTAAGGCACAGGAAAAAATATCCTGGTTGCCGATATTAGGACTTACTTTGCAGGAAATCTTTTTTAAAACTGTCCTTAGTACAATTTGAACATAAAAGTAACCATTGCTAGTCCTTCATTTGGATGTTTGTATATGTTTAATGGACCTCTTTAAATATACGAAAACTAATAAAACATGTTTAGAGCCCTTACTTCTCTTTATCAAAATTAAATGACACCCTTTCCTTTGGTTCCACATTTTTATAATTAATCTTATTTTTCGGCTATAAAAATGCACCTATGTTTTGTCGTTTATTAAGCAAGTTAGTGAAGTTTATAAAATTTTCCATCTGTTATACAAACAATCGCTTTTAAATAAACCGTTGGCACATTTCACGTGTGTTCATGTTAAAGCATTGGTAAGAAAATATGCCACCTATCTGATAGAAATATTGTTATATTTTTTTCCTTTGTCAGAATTCTATAAAATGCTTTGACACTTAAATGTTTAATATCTTAACAGTCTTTTCATGTAAATCTAGCATTTTCAGATATCATATGGCACGCCCCATCGATATTTTCTGGTGTCCCCACAATTTCAATCAACCAGATTGACTGTTATATTTAAACTCTCCTTTTTTTCTTCTGAATAAATGAATCCATCTGAAAGGTATACGGCGTTAAAAATCTTTTTTTTTCTACATATAAAAATTATATCTTAAATATGATTTCTTCGGCGATTTACATGTACGTAAAAGGCACAGTTTTTACATACGCTCTTATTTTCATCTTCTTGGCAGAGATCATTTATAAACAATTTTCAGCTCATTGTAGTGACCATCCTTACTTTAAATTGAATTTCTTCGCGATGGCAAAAGGAAGATACATGGGGATTTCTGTGTTTAGGAGCCCTTTAACAGAACTTTTCAACTATGGACAAATAATGTCAAATGCCTCAACAGTTTATATGATATACTGTGTATTGCATTAATTATTGAACGACCCTCGTAGTTATCACATTCTAAATATGCTTAAATAGAAACAACAGTTTGCATGTTAATAAAAATAAAATTATGACCATGTTATAAAAAGTCGGGGCGTTTAGTATTGCCTCTTTCGTTCCATTATTTAATAGATTTCTAGTTTTATCTTTTTGATTTGTTTGTCTTTATTGCCCCCCGCTTTTTCATGTCATATTGTACCTGGCATGACCATTTTCTACGAAAGCCCAGAAGGCTCATTCGAGATTCAAGTTTCGAAATACGAGATTCAAAATTCGAGATTCGAAATTCGAGTTTCGAGATTCAAGATCCAGATTAACCAATCAAAAAGCTCATTCGAGATTCGAGGTTCGAAATTCGAGATTCGAAATTCGAGTTTCGAGATTCAAAATCCAGATTAACCAATCAAATGCGGGTTCAACATTGATTACTCCCCTTTATTATGTTTAATCTATCAATAAATCGTTTAATATATTTATAACAAATGAGTCATTTGAATAAATTACAATGCAAGAAAGAGTGTTATATATATTAGAAGGAAAGTTAAATAATCATTTGATTTTTGATCAGCAAGATATACTTCAATTTATATTATGACTTCTTAAATATTAAATAGAATACATATATCAGGAATATATATATTTTTGCATTGTCTACTGTTTATAAAGGGTTGCTGACATAATAATACAATTATAAATAGTGTCTAAAGATTAACAAAATCCCCACCCCTACCGGCAACACCTGCCAATTTTTCCCGACACTGAAAATGTTACTTTAAAAATTTGAAAGGCAAGGTAGCCTTGATAAATAAAAACCGCGCTCGTTTTCCTAATAGAGGGAATACATTAAAATAAAGTTTTCAATTACTTATCTTCATCTAAGGCTTTGATTTCTTGAACTAATTAACAATTATATATACAATACAGATTGCAAATATGAATTAGAATAAATGCAGCATTCATTTTATCTGATATCAAACAGTAGATTAGTATACAGTTAAAGTATATCATTGAGGGAGTCAGCAAGATTCCAGTTCCCCAAGAGTAAGTCTATTTCCCGAGGCGCTTGCGCCGAGGGAAATAGGCTTGCTTGAGGGGAACTGGAATCTTGCTGACTCCCTCAATGATATACTTTAACTGTTTTATTATACCGATACAAACAAGACATTTGAAAAAGTTATATTCAATACTGTATTCTGTAACAATGTTTAATTCCGACAGAAATAAATAAAAAATAACAACAAACAGAATACAGACATGAATAGAATTCCATTTTATCAATAAATCAGTTCATTGTCCGAGTTTTTACCTAGTAAAATCGAAAGTAACATTACGCAAGTTTTCGAGCTCAATCTTCGTTTGCTACCAGTAAACTGGTTCTTTTTTATTGATATGGGACCAGTTGACTCACTATGCATTTCCATTCATTAATGAATATTCATGAGTTTATTCGGAACATTTCTAAGTTTGTCGTGAGTTGAAAGAAAATCCTAAGTGTTCCGAATAGGTGTGTATCAGTTCATCAAAAAACGTACTTTTTTTGCAGGGAATCAGTCTTTTTTGCAGGGAATTGGTTTATTCACGGTGATTTTCAGGAAATTAGCAAAATATATCGATTTAGTTTAATATAGTGAAAAATCAGTAGAGGTATAATAATCTAAATTAGCTGCAGAACTATAGCGTTATGGTTTTATATTTTAGTCTCTGACCATAGCGTTATGGTCAAAGACTAAAATATACTCGGTTTTTATTTATCAAGGCTACAAGGATTTTGTTAATCTTTAGTCACTATTTATAACTTTATTATTATGTCAACAATCCTTTATATACAGTAGACAATGCAAAAATATATATATTCCTGATTATGTATTCTATTTAATATTTAAGAAGTCATAATATAAATTGAAGTATATCTTGCTGATCAAAAATCAAATGATTATTTAACTTTCTTTCTAATATATATAACACTCTTTCTTGCATTGTAATTTATTCAAATGACTCATTTGTTATAAATATATTAAACGATTTATTGATAGATTAAACATAATAAAGGGGAGTAATCAATGTTGAACCCGCATTTGATTGGTTAATCTGGATTTTGAATCTCGAAACTCGAATTTCGAATCTCGAATCTCGAATGAGCCTTTTGATTGGTTAATCTGGATCTTGAATCTCGAAACTCGAATTTCGAATCTCGAATTTTGAATCTCGTATTTCGAAACTTGAATCTCGAATGAGCCTTCTGGGCTTTCGTAATTTTCACTGTCTTGAACACAGTATTTACTGTACATTATTTTACTGTGTTACATGTATTACCGTGATTACTAGAATTTGTTCTGGCACAGCTTTTCAAATTTGCAGATATGATGCTCATATCAATCCATATCCTTTTGGAATTTGTTTCTATGGTCGATACAATGACCTTGTCAGCAAATACAATTTATCATTGAGTCAAATGTTGACTGACATTATTCATACTAATTGTTAGTCCATTATTTATGCAACAAATTGACAACGGATTTTTCCGCTGTTACCTGATCATGACAAGGAACACACAGCGGGTGTGACCGGTCAGCAGGGGATGCTCACTCCTCCATGGCACCTGATCCCACCTCTGATGTTCCGGAGGTCCGTGTTTGCTCTGCTTCTGTTTTGTATTGTTTTATGGACTTTGATATTGAATACTGTTTGTTATCTCCATATCCTTCTTCATTCAGTGCAATAGACATGATTCAACGGTCAGGAGTTATATATACCCTGCTATTGATGACAACAGCTGGAGTTGTTGGCCCCCTTAAGTGCCCCAGTTCAGCTAGTGATTGGGACAGGGCGTCACGTGGTCTTCAGTGTCAGCCCCCTAACTTCTACCATTGTCTGAGAGATGAGTCCGGAGTTAACACGGAGCAGTGTCTACCTCGCGTCTGGATACAGCCGCGTATGTCTTATAAACACATGCATCTACATCCACTACAGAATTCAACTTTAAAGAGAGTTTTCACATTAAATTTTAAACTTTTATTAAACTTCTAGTACTTGTGTAATATAAACATTTGTAAAGAAAACAGAAGTACTTGGTTTTTGATTAATCAATTGTTTTTTTAAATAGCTATAAAAGTGAAGTTTTTGTGATAAATACCATGACTGCCATCTATGACACAGCTTTTCAAATTTGCAGATATGATGTTCATACCAATCCATACCCTTTTGGAAATACTTGTTTTCAAGAATCCATATAAGTTTATCACGAATATTTGTATTTTTATACTCTCTTCGTTATATGTAGAAATGTGTCCAGAATTCAACTCTCGAGTGTCCCGAGTTGACGTGTACCAGTGTACCGTTAATAACTGTCCCACCTCTCTCTATTGGTCCAACGCTGTATTCATGTGTAAGTCCATTATTTGCATGCGTGAAATTATAAAGTTATTATAATTTAATATTTCGTTAATATTTTTTTTATTACAATTTGACTAACATTTTTTTATGACAGTAATTTTAAAAAAAGTTCTATAGCTTTAAAAATGCAAATATTATATTAAAAATTAATTGCATCAATTGCAGATTATTTGATATTGTATCTTGTTTAATTTTTATTAACATTTATTGACAGATGTACATTAAAATAGATATAACAAAAAACGTAGGGATTTTAGCTTTACCATTATCACTATACTATAAATGCTTGAAACCATTAAAATAAATATCATTTAAGTACCATACTCTCATATTCATTGTGTTTTTTTTTATAGAGAAGGTAATACATGCATCAATCTTCAGCATTTAAAGTGAAGTTTTGTATTTCATTGAACTCCTTTTAAAAACAGGAAAACAAAATAGTAAAGCTGACAAACATGTTTCTGTCATAGAGCAGTTGTTAAGGATCTTTTGTACTATGCACTAAAAAAAAAATCATGCACAAGCAATAACTGAAATATCATCTTTGTCTTTTGAAGATTTTTTTTACTCTGTGAGGAAATTTAGAATTGTTTTTAACTAGTCACTAAGCATTATAGCTTAGATGTGGACTTAAAACATCTCATGTAACGGAAATATTTTGTTTTGCTTGATCTGGTTTTCTGATTTATCAACTTCAGCTATTTTATACCTTGACTTATCTTCAAACAATTGATTTGACCTTTGATGTTTGAAAAACCAAACTTTTATAAAAAAAAATTGGTAAATAAAACTTTACAACATGTGCAGCTGCTGAATATAAATAAAGAAAATACAAAAAAACATAGTAAAGCTTTGGTGGTTTTATTACATTCAGTTTGTAAATATATAAGTTAATAGTAGTCCAGGTGGACATTTAAATATCATTTATGATTTAATGATACATTAATGTAATTTGATGGCTTAATATCAAACATTTTGTTTATCAAGAAAAGTACTTGAATTTTTTTTTAGAGAACTCTTGCTAAAAAAGCTGAACTTTTAGTATATACATGTACACTAAAGAAGGTTGCATATTGTGTTCTCTTTTTCTTACAGACCCTATTTGTTTTGAAAATGGATCATTGACTTCACCTTCAAAGCCAGGGTATGTGTAATTTACCTCATATGTATCTAAGTTTTATATTAAAAAAATAAGATTCAACAAAAGAAATCACCAATGAACACTATTTCAGGTCAACCATAACTACAACAGTAATGGAAAAAACTTCCCTCTTTGAACACCATTTCAGGTCAACAAAAGCTTCCATGGTATTGGAAAAGACTCCCACATTTGATAAATCCAAAGATTCAGGAGATGAGTCCTCTACTGATGAATCTCTCCCTGTGAGCACCATTGTAGGGAGCATTATAGGTGTTGTAGTGGTATGTGTTGTTGGAGTCCTCATTATCCTGGCGTATTTAAAAAGAAGATGCAGAAAGGGAAACAATGGTAATTTATAGAATATTTTTTGTGCATCTTTTGGAAGAAAATATATTTGTTTTTTAAAATATTCCATCAAAATGCATTTATGTACATGTTTATGACTTTACATGTATTTCACTATTTGATGAAAGATTCTAGTATCTATATCTCTATCTAGGTTACATTAATTTAAGCCTTACACTCGTACCTCATATAACAGAGTATCTCTGTTTAACATAAATTACTATAACATGTATTTTTTATTAGGTGGACTAGCTAATGGAAATGTAAATATTGAAAATGAAAAACTTTCAGGTGAGTACACATACATTTTTTTTTTCAAAACCGGTTTAACTTTTATAATTACAATTTCTTGAAAGGAATAATAAAAAAATATCCAATAATAAAACCCTTTAAATAATTAAAAGTGACAAAAAGAAAGAAAATGTTGGTTTCTTTTTTATGAAGTGATTTGTTTTAGCAGATGCAGTAAAAAATGAAAATGAAATCAATGAAGTCAGTGAACTTTTGGGTGAGTTTGAGTGGAAGTTACAATCCGAGAAAGTGTCTATCAGAACAACCCCACCTCCCACACAAAAACACTTAAAACACACATACATAGTAATAGTTTATTACTGTCTTCCTTGGAAGACGGTATTGTATAGTTGAAGTTTTTTACAGTCTTCGGACTATGCACTTCCTCTCTTTTGTGATTGGTAGAAATTGCATGATGAGAAAATTTTCAATTATTTCATTGGTTGAAATGCTGTTCAAGGCAAGGGAGATAAATTTCTGATGATATAATTTTCGTACGACTTAACAATTTTGCAAGATTTCCAGGTTGCAGAGGATATAGTTTCGAATAAAGTACCGGTCAAAAAATAGAAGAAATAGAGAAACTTGAGGTTTGAATGCATATTATAGGTAATTTTATAGCTAGAATATTTTATGGGTGCATTTGGAGGGAATTGGTGGCCTTGTATATTTTATTGAAATATGACACTTTAGTTTCACTACTACTGTATATGGGATATGGACTAGAAATACGAAACTAAGCTCAAAACTCGCTCTACTGGTATTTCACCAGAAAAGCGGGATGGGTTCACAGGATGAATTGTAGCTTGAAAACGAGGTGGTTGAGCCATTATCTCTTGCTGTTCATTGGTATGTACAAATGTTATTCTGCAATTTGTGTGGTAGCTTAGGTCAGGCGCACGGGCCTGGAAGCAGATGCAGCTGCGGCGAAATAGTGAAAATAGGCTTGATTCACATGAAATTTTGAGATTGTCCCTGCGCCATCTTTAGGGCTCATTGTGTAAGTTGTACATGTTTTATTCCTAAAAGCTTCAAATTTCTCAAGTGACTACATCATACTATTATTACATGTAGAGGGAATTTAAAATTTTTCAATGCACATTTTTAAAGCAGCTCAATATTAAGTAAACCGTCAGTCAAACGTTTTGATTGCAAAAAAAACTATCCTCTGCCACCTTCAAGAATGCATCAATTTTTAGAAATGTGAATTTTAGTCTGATTTTTATACAAAAGGGTTTATTTATGTAAGTCAATTAAAAAAAATACTTTGTTTCTGTTATTTAAAATCTGTACAGTTAGGTATATTCATTAAAAAGCAAGGGGGGTTACTCTTTTCCAGCATACATGTTTAAAGACTTTGAACCATCAGCATAATAAATCATATAAGATTCAGGCATTTTTTGCCAGAGAATAAATTAATTGTTTGAAATTGATACTTTGGGTATTGTCGCATAATTAAAATCATGTCTTGCTTTAATTAATTAAATCTAATTAAAATTTAAGTGTATTAATTAGTGCGATATCACTGAAATTACATATATTTGCAATTTTTTCAACCCAATTCACTAAATATAATTATTTTGAAAATAAAAATCAGTCAGCATACCTAAATGTCACTAAACCTAACCATATATAGTACAAAAAAACTTTTTTTGCTTTATTTTTCCAAATTTAACCTATTCTGTTATTGATATTTTCATGAAATATGTCCCCCCCCTTTTCAATTTTTAAATTTATCTATATTTAAATGTGACAGAATCTAAATTTTTCAATGGTTTGCTATAAAATGACTATTTTTCTTTGAATAATAACAAAACAAAGAGTTTATATTGCATATTTAATGAAGTAATATCAATAAAATCTGCATTCTCATGTAATTATTGAATTCTGCTAGGCCCATATAATCTGCCCACAATTGCCCAGGATGGACAGAATAATCACTTTTAGTATTCAGGAGAATGGAATGTATGTATTTGATTACTCATAACTGTTAAAAGTGAATATCAGACTCTTAGGTAGAATTCAGGTAGGACAAACAAATTTTTACAGTGCATTTTCATTACACTGAAGAAATGGCTGCAGGGGTAGGGTGTTGAACAGCTATTTCCTGGACACTTTTTCTTTAGCATATGATGCAAGAGGGTTTTTTGCATATCATGATAAATATTTTGAAAGTTGAAAGGGGTTTTAACTTTGCAAAGAAGTTATAGGTATATAAAACCAAGTGAACAAGAGATAAATTGGAATTTCATAGAACATGAAAAATAGGGGAGTATGTGATACATGTGAGTACATTTCACCAAGATGTGCCCTTTATATTTGACTTTTTACATATAAATGTATTTGAAATAGATTAAAATTACCATTTAACACTTTTTTGCTGGTATATTCATCATTTGGAGTTGTAAGAATTGCATTTGTTTTATGTGTAATAAACAATATGGGGTTAAGGTGGTTGACCGAGAATTGGTGAGGTCTCTTATTTGCCCATAACTTTTTTATTTTTCAATATATCAAGACATATTTGGTATATATTTACTCAGAATTGCATGTTCTTTTTGAATTGAGCAAGGTTTATTACTTGCAAGACAAACTTTGAAAGTTAAAGGTGGCAGAGGATAGTTTCGAATAAAGTACCGGTCAAAAAATAGAAGAAATAGAGAAACCTGAGGTTTGAATGCATATAATAGGTAATTTTATAGCTAGAATATTTTATGGGTGCATTTGGAGGGAATTGGTGGCCTTGTATATTTTATTGAAATATGACACTTTAGTGTCACTACTACTGTATATAGGATATGGACTAGAAATACGAAACTAAGCTCAAAACTCGCTCTACCGGTATTTCACCAGAAAAGCGGGGTGGGTTCACAGGATGAATTGTAGCTTGAAAACGAGGTGGTTGAGCCATTATCTCTTGCTGTTCATTGGTATGTACAAATGTTATTCTGCAATTTGTATGGTAGCTTAGGTCAGGCGCACGGGCCTGGAAGCAGACGCAGCTGCGGCGAAATAGTGAAAATAGGCTTGATTCACATGAAATTTTGAGATTGTCCCTGCGCCATCTTTAGGGCTCATTGTGTAAGTTGTACATGTTTTATTCCTAAAAGCTTCAAATTTCTCAAGGGACTACATCATACTATTATTACATGTAGAGGGAATTTAAAATTTTTCAATGCACATTTTTAAAGCAGCTCAATATTAAGTAAACCGTCAGTCAAACGTTTTGATTGCAAAAAAAACTATCCTCTGCCACCCCAATCTTAAAAAAATGACAAAACGAACAGCAAAATGAGCAGTAATTAATTCTTAATAACATGGTATTTTTTATAGCAATAAATAAAAAGGTCTCTTCAATTTCATTATAAATAAAATTTAATTTTTATAACTTGCAGGCTTTACAATTTGTTATTTTTCTTTTCCCCTTTCTTGTTTGAATCAGCCGAGGTTTGCCGAAAGCTCTCGGCCAGTCAACGTTTAAAGAGATGACAGAGCGACAACCGTGGTAGGGCTAATGCCAGTAAAAAGCTAATGTAGAAATACAAAATTCAAAAGAATTATACGGCCTGATAGGTGTAGATCGGTTTACTGTTTAAGATTGTTGCTAAAGACAGTAAGCTTTACTTGTTGATTACACACTTAATTTATAATTTTACACCCCCTCCCCACTTGGAAAGCAGGGCTTAGTTTGTTATGTTAGGTGTCCATCCGTTTGTCTGTCTGTCCAGTATGCATTGGGATACCAGGCTACTCATCTCTTATCCGCAACTCCTCTTTTATACCAGTGAGACTTTCTCAGAATTTTTGTTACATAGTGCCATTGTGACTTTCTGTTTTAGATTTTCATTGGACCCATCAGGTCTCCCATAGCAAAATATATGGACAATACTATTCTTTCTATACAAATGCAATATTGAGGGGTATCCATCTCTTATCTGCAACTCTTCCTAAACAACTGAATGAAATAAGTAATACTTTCATTATTTTTTATCAAATAGTGTCATTGTGAGCCACCGTTTTTCTTTTTTAACACTTATGTATTTCGGGTCCTCCATACAAAATATGGATTTTGCCATTATAATCATATTTTATGCAAGGGTATCACTTTCAACTTCAGTGCTCAAACTACCTCTAGTTTGTTTTGCAAAGTTGGGGAAACTAGAAACTTGTAAAAATGTTTTGTTTGTAGAAATAAAAATTATCCTAAAAAATTACAGAGTTTACTAACATTAATATTGTTTGCTTGTTTTTTAGGTAATGGAAGATCCTCAAAACTCAAGAAGGAATCCGTAAAAGATGGATGCCAAGGTATTTTTGTGTGATTTTTAGCCGGGCTTATTGCTCAAAGAGCAATTGCTGGCTTATGTGATCCTGTTCAAGGCAGGATGTTGACCCCATAGTCGCCATTTTAAAGTTACGTGCAAAAATATAGTTCTTACTCTCAACCGCTTTTGAGATAATACAAACGCTAAATAAAGCAACAAAAATAAAACGAAGTTTCATCTATATAAAATAAATATTAGTAGTAATGACTTTGAAAACTTCATAAGTCAAAGAACATAGTTCATTAGCGTAAAGATTTTTGATAATCAGTGTTACCGTAGTTCTCTACACTTACGAGGTAAAGCAGGAGAGGGAACCAGACTGGCCTGTTTGTTTACATTCAGCAGCATGCGGTACCAGATTAATTCTGATTCTGACAAAATCGGACCGTGGTATTAGGATTGAAAAACTCACTGTCAGTGTCTTATCATTTATATTGATAGTTTTAAAATATTTTTTTCATCAGAATATAAACGTGATTCATGTAAGAAATCCATTCTACTCTATAAAATGAGCCCGGCTCTCTGTACTTCTGAGTACTTTGATTTTTAATGAATTACGATTCTTTAATTTCATACCTTTAAAGATGATAAGCTGAGGTTTTAATGTTATAGTCCATTGTTTGTTGTTAAAAGTCAGATACCAAGAGAATGGGGCATTTAATATAAAGTATAAATAAATATAAGTATTTTATGCGTAATACATATTTAATTAAGACCCTCAATGAAGATACAGTCATTTTCTCATATAAACTTTAAATTTCATTCGACAATTCAATAACACATTTCTATGATTAAAAAAAGCCCCTAAGATCAAGCTTATGTTAAGGATGACATATTATTTGTTAAAACTGTATAAATAAATAAATAAATGAATATAATTAATGAGTTTTTTGTTAGAAGAACAAGCTATTGGAAATGTAAAAAGTGAGTTCAGCAAACCCCAAGTTCACAAGTACGGTTACAAAGATTAAATCCCAAATAATACACAGTTAAAGAGTTGATGATGTTTTAAAGGTATTTGGACACAGATTTATAGTCAGTATTTTCTCTATATTTCGGCTTACATATTTTAATAGCATTTCACGCAAAAATTAATTAAAAATCTTATTTCATTTAAATTTAAAAGTTATTAAAACTTCAAATTTTTTGGTGGGTTTGATTGACACATCCTTGCACTTTCACAAATTTTAACCTTTTTCTTAATCCTTAGGAAAAGTTGCAATCTTATTAGCAAATGGAGCACACTCGTGTTAGGTACACAGTTTTTGTAAACAGCTAGGCACGAGTTCTGTTTTGTTGATGTTTACAATTCACTGGGTGCGTTCAGTCATCACAGTCTGCTTACCACAGCTGCACGGACTGACAATATATTGTGTGTTTGTTTTGCTTTCGAACATATCTACTCTGAATTTTCTGGATTATAGTATTAATATTTTTCATTTATACACAACGAGATTGCCACTTTTCCTAAGGATTAAGAATAGAATTAATTTGTGAAATAGCAAGGATGTGTCAATCAAACCCGCCAAAAAATTGAAATTTTAATATCTTTTTATATGAAATAAGATTTTAAAATAATTTTTGTGTGAAACGCTATCAAAATATGTAAGTCGTAATATATAGAGAAAATAATAACTTCAAATCTGTGTCTAAATACCTTTAAGCCTTTTCATTAATGAAAGGATTTAAGAAAAGTATCATAAATGTTTTTTTTGTAGAAAAAATAGAAAAAGGAAATGAAATTATTGAAACCAGTTACCTTTTGAGTAAGTTTGAGTGGAAATTGTGAATCAGTGAAATAGCTAGTCCATCAATCCCCCTTCTCCTACAATTCAATTCAATTCAATTCAATTCAATTTATTGACCAATTAAGGGCCCTCGTGGGGCAAAAAGAAAGTACATTGTTAAAATGTATATAATGATTATCATACACATGCAATACAATATACATATACATATGAGGGAAAGGGTTGCTTAATTGATAGGAAAGACATATACAAATAGGGGAATACCCAAAATATTTTATATGTACAGTACATAAGAATTGTTTTATAGGTATATATACACTAATACAGTACATCATTTATCTATGCATACATTATTAAGTCATATTCCTAAAACTTATGGTAATGCTTTTTGTAAAAAACTTCCAAGAGAATTTAGTATATCTAATTCTTCACAATTTAGAATCCAGAATAATTTTTGTTTATCTGGCAATTCTGTAAAATGTTTTACTTTAGATGAGATCAGGTTAAATAGCTCTTCCCTTTCCTTTGTAAATTTGCTACAGTGAATAAGGAAATGTTTTTCATCTTCAATTTGATTAAGCATACAATTTTTACATATTCTTTCTGATCTGGGTGTGCTATTATATCTGCCCAATTCTATGAATAGCCTGTGTGCTGATACACGTAATCTGCAAATTGGCGTTCTGTATTCAGGTTTTAATAAAAGTAGATATTTTTCCAGTCTAAAATTGTTCTTCAGAAATAAATAAGTGACAAGTTTGTCCTCTTTTAGTGTTTCATTTAAGTGTTGCCAGTCAAGTGAGTATTTTTTATTCATGGATTGTTTCAATGAATTCATAAAATTACTCTTAGTATAGGACATTATGTTTGGGATATCAAGAATTTTTAATAATTTTTCTATTGAGGAGTACCAAGTTGTTTTTTGGGCAAAATGAAGTTCCTTACTACATATAAATGCATCTTTTAGTAAAGGAAAATCTGATTTTAAATTTTCTAATCTGTAGCAGTATTTAAGTAACCTGTTGATAATATCATAGTGCCAAACACAAAATGAACATTTTTGAAGTCTTACATGCTATCAAAGTAAATTAAACACAAGTTCTTTACAACTCGTTAACGTATACCACCAAACAATAATAGAATTATTTGATGATGTTGCTTTTTTAAGGTAATGAAAGTTCCTCAAAACCCAATGAATCCAGAAAAGATGGATGTCAAGGTAAAGGATGTAAATTCTCTTTGACAAAAGAATTGACCTATAGGAGATAACAATTTCCCGGAAAAAAGTTATATTTAAGAATTAATATATCTTTATTTGTTTTTTTTATATCGCATATATGTCTAAATTTTTCAAATAATAATTTGTATTTTATACCTAAAATTTATTATTTACAACTTTACAATAATCCTCCAAAGTTGACAGAAACATCATTTTGCCCGTTAAAGCGTTGATTTTTGCATGAATTTTGGCCTAGAAGTCCTTCAGGGCAGGCCTGCCCCTAAATAAAATATGATATTTTGATAGGTTTGGATGTAAGGAATGCTTTAAAATTTTTCCTTCAATTATCTATCCTTAATGCGTGCCTATTCTTGATATATAAGAAACACTTAAGAGATATCAAATCGTAAAAATCCAATGTACAGTTGTCAGTCAGGCGGAACAAACCTCAGTATAAGCACACTTTCTCCGAGGACAAAAATAACTCAATCTTTGTTACTCAATATGGGTATTCTTGGCAGCATTGACCTGCGATGAATGTCAATTGTATATATTCCTTATAGTCTGGTCTGATTTTATAGAAAAAAATACTTCCAACGGCAAATAATTATTATTTGGTCCGGCATACTTTTTTAACCTATTTCGAGTATGCTGAATCCGAAAAAGTATGCTGACCTTCATGAAAATGGCGTTAAAGAGGTCAAAATGGCGATTCAAAATGGCGGACTATCCAATTCTTCTAATTTTCTCTTAATATCGTTCAAAAAGGAAAAATAATGTGTGAATATCTCACTGAGTGTAATATTAGTGTAAAAATGTTAATAGAATGCTAACATTATTAGTTTAAACTCAGAAAATTTAGTCGTTTCTACACATAATTCGAATTTTCTCTGATTTTTTGGTCTTTTGTTCTATATTCCGCTTTGTTCAGGAATTTACATTCTAAAATATCCATACACCGCAGATTTTTATTTTTTCTTCTGCATCTCATTATTCTACAACTGAATGATGGCGCAGCTGTGAGTTAAAAGTCAAAATGGCGTTTACATAGGAGAAAGGATTTGTTAATATCTTACTGAGCGTAGTACAACTATGTAAAATGCCAACAGAACACTAATTTGATCACTTTTATAGGAAAATTTAGTCGTTCAAATTTGAAATGTGTTTAATAGCTCAAAATGGCGATTCAAAATGACGTCTGATACACTCGAATTTCGTTGAAACTCTTAATTCTGGTTCGTTTTGCAAAAAATAAATTACAGTTTGTTTTTTTTAATTTATATAATATATTGATTAGTCCATTAAATATGAACAAAAAATACTTGAAAACGAATTAAGAGTTTCCAAATTCCCCCCTTCGTATTTGATCGTACGTGTTCCAAAGCCTTTGAGACTCCGTCCACCTAAAAGAATTTATTTCTAGCCTTCTTTTTAAAAATCAGGACCAGACTATTAGAATATTTATGAGATTTATTTTGGGTACATATATCAGTAACTACTCCCTCGGATTTGATTTAGGCCTATACAATTTGCACATATTAATGGTATGTTTTATTATATTCACGGATAAAATAGCCTAGACATAAAGAATAGAATTTAAGAGGCAGTAAATATTACCATTATGCACATTGAGGAGTTCAGACAAATATCAATTATTAGATTTTGAGATAACAAACTCAAGAAATCAATGAAAGGGTTCCTCCTACCTCCACTCGTTGAAAAAAAAAGAAAGAAAACAAATTGTTATATGTATTCAGCCTAATGCCATGAATCAGAACGGAAATCGACAAGGTTTTTGTAGAGAAAAAACCAAGCCCGGTCCTATAGGTCAAATCGCTATTTATAATGAAGTGATCCTTTTGTGAAATTTTATACATGTACCGGTGATGCCAAGGTAAATTTTTGTGAATTTTTATACATGTACCGGTAAGAATTATGTTTCATTAATTTTCATATCTTTAAAGATCCATATTTACAAGGAAACATGAAGATATTCTTTATGAGAAATATCTAATTTTGTAATATTTTGGACCACTGTCTTTTTTCCTGCTACCTTTAAACTATATTTGGCTTTAATTAGAACAAATCTATGATAATAAACTTGATAATAAAGCTTATGTTAAGAATGACAAACAATATTTCAACTCTATATAGATAAATTAATGTCAAGTAATACATAAGTAATATTTTTTATTAGAAGATCAAGCGGATGGAAATGTGAAAAGTGAAGTCAGCATTTCGTCAGGTTAGTTCACATGTACAGCTATACAAAACCAGCGGAATTTTTTAAATTGTTACATATTTTTACGATTAAATGCAGAATAACAAAACCCAAGTATTGGAAGAAATGAAGTTTTTTTTTATATTCATGACGTGATTTTTAGCTCTACTGGTCAGAGACCAGAAGAGCTTATGCGATAGTAATGCGTCCGTCGTCCGTCCATTCGTCTGTCTGTCTGTCTGTCTGTAAACAATTTTTCAAAATGCTACTCCTCCTACAGATTTGGTTCGATTTCAATATAACTTGACACACAAGTAGACTACACTAAGATACATAATTCTGTGCATCGGTTTTTTATTTCGATGAACGGTGTTGCCATGGTTACTAAAAATAGAAATTTCTGTGAAATTCTTTTAAAATGCTACTCCTCCTACAGATTAAGTTCGATTTCAATATAACTTGACACACAAGTAGACTACACTAAGATACATAATTCTGTGCATCGGTTTTTGATTTCGATGAACGGTGTTGCCATGGTTACTAAAAATAGAAATTTCTGTGAAATTCTTTTAAAATCCTACTTCTCCTACAGATTAAGTTCGATTTCAATATAACTTGGCACACAAGTAGACTACACTAAGATACATATTTCTGTGCATCGGTTTTTGATTTCGATGAACGGTGTTGCCATGGTTACTAAAAATAGAAATTTCTTTGAAATTCTTTCAAAATGCTACTCCTCCTACAGATTTGTTTCGATTTCAATATAACTTGGCACACAAGTAGACTACACTAAGATACATAATTCTGTGGATTGGTTTCCGATTTCGATGAGCGATGATGCCATGGTTACTAAAAATAGAAATTTCTGTGAAATTCTTTCAAAATGCTACTCCTCCTACAGATTTGGTTGGATTTCAATATAACTTGGCACACAAGTAGACTACACTAAGATACATAATTCTGTGCATCGGTTTTTGATTTCAATGAACGATGTTGCCGAGGTTACTAAAAATAGAAATTTCTTTGAAATTCTTTTAAAATGCTACTCCTCCTACAGATTTAGTTCGATTTCAATATAACTTGACACACAAGTGGACTACACTAAGATACATAATTCTGTGCATCGGTTTTTGATTTCGATGAACGGTGTTGCCATGGTTACTAAAAATAGAAATTTCTTTGAAATTCTTTTAAAATGCTACTCCTCCTACAGATTTAGTTCGATTTCAATATAACTTGGCACACAAGTAGACTACACTAAGATACATATTTCTGTGCATCGGTTTTTTTATTTTCGATGAACGGTGTTGCCATGGTTACTAAAAATAGAAATTTCTTTGAAATTCTTTCAAAATGCTACTCCTCCTACAGATTTGTTTCGATTTCAATATAACTTGGCACACAAGTAGACTACACTAAGATACATAATTCTGTGGATCGGTTTTTGCTTCGATGAGCGATGATGCCATGGTTACTAAAAAAAGAATTTTTTTTTGAAATTCTATCAAAATGCTACTCCTCCTACAGTTTTGGTTCGATTTCAATTTAACTTGGCACACAAGTAGACTACACTAAGATACATAATTCTCTGCATCGGTTTTTGCTTTGATGAGTGGCAAGGATCATTATTCTATTTTTTGCTGTTTTAAAGTTTCAAGTCGCAACCGTTACTTTTATCTTCCTTTGTTTTAAGTATAAACCAGTAGAGCTACAGTCATGACAGAGACTTCTGGTTTCTTCAGAATGTTAGAAATGTTCTTTTTGCAGACAAAGTAAAAAAATGAAAATGAAATCAATGATACCAGTATTCGGTAGACTAGAGTGTAAATTATGAATCAGCGAAACTGTCCATCCCCTCCCCCCTTTCAACACGCCATACAGAAAATAAACATGAAACTAAAAAAGCTTTTATAACTCATGAAAAGTTACCATTTTAAAATGAGTTATTTGAGGATATTTGCTTTTTTTAAGATAACGAAGGTTCCTCAGATCCCAAGGAATCCAGAAAAAATGGATGCCAAGGTAATTTCTGTGAATTTTTATAAATTATGATTTGTTTATGTCATACTCTTAAAAATGATACGTTGAAGCATTTAAATTGTCATTCCAGTGTATGTAGTTGAAAGTCAGAAACCAAACGAGCAGACAAGTGTTCCAGAAGATAAAAATTCCATACTTGTTCTGGTGTTAGTGTTAAATAATCCAATCAACAACAAGGAGATGAACAGAAAGGCCTCAAAAGCATTTGGACCAAAATACAGTTATTGTTGGACTGTTTCTCATTATCAGAAGCATAAACAAAACGACAGTTTTTGTTTATTCCCACAAAACTTTGACTTTGAAGGTGAAAATGTAAAGGAAATTTTTGAGAAGACACGTGATTTTGTTACTAAGACAGAGTTGAAAGTCAAATTTGTTGTAACAGTGCCATTGAGTTTGTGGTCAACACAGACAGAAGAACTTTATGCTTTTCTGAGAGAGGATAGAAATTTTTGTTTCAAAACTGAATATTGTTAATATATCCTCAAACAATGAGAAAAATGCAGAAAACAAAGGAAACTATTGATGAAAGAAACTTCTTCACAATGAAATCTGAGAGCAACGAGGGATTTTAATTGGATACCATATAAGGGGTGTTAAAACGTTCGTTCCATGAAGAAATATTTTTCGAAAATTTCAAAGTAGTGTTTACAAAAGAGATGAATTTTCAAGTCTTGCAAAACACAAGATTGTGCTTTTTGATTTAAAGCAATTCTTTCTAGCTTAAAGATATAGGATTTTTCTTCAATGCAACGTCTTATGCATGAAAAGAAGAAAACACTTGCTGTGGCTTCAACTCGACATTAAGATATATCGACGACTTATTGTCAATTAACAATGGTGATTTCCATTCCTACGTCGATAGATATATAGTGGTGAGCTTGAGATTAAAGATACCACAGAGTCTGACACATCTGTTTCATACTTGGACATTTTACTTGAAAAACGTTAATGTTTATCTAACAACCAAGCTCTATGATAAACGTGATGACCTTAACTTTTCTATACAGTAGTCAAATTCCCTTACATATGCATCAATTAACCTTCATCACCTGCATACGGAGTTTATCCCTCCCTGCTCAAAGGCCGTAAGTGCCGAGCATAGGCCTAAAGAAATACGCACGCTAACTCTCGATTCCCGCCTACATTTTGGAACCATTTAATTCAATATAAATAGCAATTTGGCCATAAAATCTTTGTTTTAAACAAAGAACAGTTCAATGGTTATTGATGAATTGCCTTAATACCATCGCTAAACGGTAAATTATCTATAACTCCAGTTCTTGAAAAAGGGGGGGGGGTTAGACAATATTTTCTATTGAAATCGGAGTTTCAAACATCACCGTATTTTGAAATAGTCTTGGATATGATTAAATTTCATTATATCTTTTCTTATGTTTTAGGCAAATAAATATATCAATAAAATATAATGTTTCAGTTGTAAATTGCTTTGAAAATGGTGGAAAATAAGCATTTTTATCGTTTTTTGTCAATAAACATATGTTCCCCCCCGTGTCACACAAAAAGCTTTGGTATGAATTTGTGAAATAACATTCCATATTACCTGTAAAAAGGAATTTTTGTGACACGGGGGGGGGGATGTTTTAAAAATATTTTCCGTTTTCATTTGATTTCTATAGTGAAAAACACAAGTTTTACCAAAATTTTAAAGTTATCTCTCTTTGTTTTCCCAAATAAGTAATGTGTTATGAAAATCCATATAATTATCTATAAAAATATTAAAAATTCATCGAATATGTTAACTTTTGAAAATTGACTTGGAGGTAGGCGGGAGAACAATACTATCGTTCCCAGTTCTTTGCAGCCCTTTACCGGCAATGGTGACGTCTCCATATCAGTGAAATATTCTGGAGAAGGACGTTAAACAGTATACAATCAATCAATCAATCATTAAACTATTCAAAAAAAAAAATAAAGACAAACAAATAAATAGAAGAATGCCTAAAAGAATCTCAATCTACATTTCTAGAAAAACTTATAATGTTTTGTTGAATTGATCAATAAGCTCTCAAATACTGCCTTTCATTTTATGTACTTCACTGGGTTTTATTTATTTATTTTAACAGTCAAAATTTATAAGAATTTTTAAAATACATTAGTGAGATATTTACATGTATTTGATGTAAGATATTACCAGTACCTCATGAAAAACAGTCTTTACCTAGTTAGATAATTACGTGTTTGTATACAAGTTGTTGAAATATTGTATAGCATGCTGAAAGTAGATATTGTGATGTATCTTAAGTAGATAGCATATATAATTGGATACATGTATATATGAATTGAAGTCTAAGCAATTTATTTCCGGCCAATTGTGTGTTTTCATTTTTTTACTGATGTATTCAATACCCACATTTATACATCCTATTTTAGACTTTCCTGCTTTAACAGGGGAGTTATATCGGAAGGGAATTCTATCAATGTGTACAGATTGCTTATTGAATATGTCTCATATTTTGTTTCAATGTAAAAATTATTGATTTAATGTGTTATTAATTTTTCGTTGAAAGCTGGAGTTTCTCTGATCACCCGTTGACCTTAAACTAATTATTTGGAAGAATCCTAGGGTAGTGTATAGTCTTAATTATCCAAATCATGACCCCTTTGGGAGAATGGTGGGGTCACAGTTGGTATTACAAGGGGGGGGGGTCTGGTAAAGATTAGCATGTCCATTGCTGCTCAGGTGAGCAATGGGGTCCATGTGTCTCTTGTTTAACTTTCAAGTAAGTACAGAATTTTGTTGTACAATTGAAGGTGAAGGTGACCTCTTCTTGGGATCGAAGGTAAAATAATTACCTCTTTGGAATATGTTTCAATACAAGAGGAATGAAAAATATTGAGATAAAGAACAATTTTAAAGCTTAAAAGTCAACTCAATCAATACAAATCAGTAGCAGAGGAAACACGGACATCCAAAACATCAGAAATGGGATCAGGTGCCATAGAGGAGTGAGCATCCTATGCCGACCAGTCACACCGCCGTACTCCTCGCCATGATTGGTAAATGATTGAAAAATCCGTGGGCAATTTTTCGATGGAAATGATGGCCTAACGATAAATTCGAAAGACGCCAGTCAGCATTTGACTTAATTATAGACTGTATTTTCTGACAAGCACGTTGCATATACCATAGAACTTTCGAAATGCTGGCTTTAAATATGACCGTTGATATACTTGTTTCATTAACTTGTCATTTACCAACGTCATTAGAGTTCATCATACGCAGAGCGTGCTCTTACGTCTTAGTTTCCACTGCAGAGATGTGTCTAAGTCGGATTGAAAATAGTTCATTTTGGAGGTCAGATGTAAATTTATTTTGCAGGATAAACAAAACACATGGTCATTGTCTTGAAATATAAGCAATATTTGGACTCGGCTCAAAAACGTGATGGAGTCACCCCTATCACGTTTTCATACCCTCGCCCAAATATCGCTTATATTTCAAGACAGTAACCATGTATTTTATATGTAACTACAATATAATTTTAAACTTTTTTGCTAAATATAACCGATACCATAATAACCCGATCAACTCAAACACTCAAAAAACCGTTCACGGTAGCTCAGTCGGTCGTGAGTTCGTATCTCGGCCGCGACTGACCTAGTCGTTAAAATTGGTAGCAACTGTTCCTTCGCCTGCGCTCGGCACTTTGAAGTAAAAGTTGCGGGTCCTTCGGATGAGACCTGAAAAACCGAGGCCCTGTGTCAGCGGAAGGCGTTGGCACGATAAAGATCCCTCACTGCTCAATGACCCTGAGTGCCGAGTAAAGGTAAAAATTTGAAGCCCTTCACTGGCATACGGTGACGTCTCCATATGAGTGAAAAATTCTCGAGAGGGACGTTAAACAATATACAATCAATCAATCAATCAAACACTCAAAATGAGCCTCTTGTTCTACCATGTTTTTTGTCTCGATCATGTTCAATTTGTATCGATCTGAACTCCAATAATAGTGCGGAAAAAATAAGCCCTTTCATGCACATTGAAGCTCAGATCAGCTGAATGGATATTTTTAGTAAACAAATGTTTAAAGTGCATTATTTAAAAGGTATTGGAAATTGGAGAGACGAAAGTAGGCCGTATTTTTGTCACTAACTTAAGGTTAGATATATACAATATATATTACACAGTAGATATGGAAAAATTTCCCTCAAATTCAATTTTTCTGAAACTTTGATATTTAGTTCTAGAATACAAAATCTCTCTTTAGATATGATTTGAAAGAAATTCAACCATACATTTTTGTCCACATAGTCTGAAATATGGCCTATCAGACCCCTGTAAGAAGATTGTGAAATCAGACATTCAACTTGAGAATGACCTTTATTTTAGAATTATCAATTGATCTTTTGCAAAGAGTGAATCCTCTAAACACTGCAATCTCGCCCCTTTTTACATGCAGAATTTTACCCTTTTAAATAAGAAAATTCTTATCTTATAGCTACAGTGTTCAAGTCTAGTCTGTATATATACTAATAAAGGATTGTTTAGGAAAGAGACTCTCAATATATACATGATATCGATTAAATAAAGTCGCATATTTCACTGTAAAACTTCGCCATTACGGCTATGTCACTGTATACAAAGTGCTAATCGAAAATCTACTTGATTTGGATCACTAGCTATATTTGTTTGGCTCATTCGAAGTTTCTGTCTGCACATTTAGACAAAAAATGTCTTTTATATACGGTTGTTTACTAATAATAAAACGACTTCAACCAATATGAGACTTCTTCTTGGTATATGTAAAGATTATTCGGTTTTTGTGTCACCCACCCTTCCTTAAACATCGGTAGCAAGCGTTTTTCACGCATCTGATGGTCATTTTTCGACTAATTAGCCACTTGAATGGACTCTTGACATTACTTCAATACAACATTTAATGTTTTGTTTAATATAAATCCTAATCAAACGTTAGCTATCAAATTTGACCACAAGGTCTTCGTTATATCTTGACAATCACATCAAATATGCACCTACCCAACTTTTCCGGAGCTATTTTTTGTTTGCGTAGAAAATAGCCAGAAGGCTATCTTTGTTGTCATGACAGCTATACTTTTTTCTAGTATACATATAGCAATTAGGCCTAGTGCAATTAGTGAAATAATTGATTGACGTTACCTTGTGTTTACAAAAGTCGTGTACAATATTTTCTTCCCCAGACTCCTCTAACATATCAAATTTGGCCCAATCCATAAGTGTAATACATATGTATTTGTATAAATTATAGCAAAAGTAGTGTGGCCTTTCGTGAAAGTATCTTTTTATTTTCTAATGGAAACAACTCTAATGACATTTTCATTTCGTTAATTAATATGTTTAGTTCCATTTGTTTTAAATTCCTGAATAAAGGATGGATCCAGCATAAATTTCTTTTGGAAGGGGGGGATTAAATTGTTGTCCATAACATTTAAAGACCCTGACACAAAAACCCTACTTTATGTTTGGGGAAGGGG